GAAGTCATGCAAGGACAGCATCCTTGCTTCCCTATTAATTATTAATGCCCTGGGTTTCTACACCTACCACATTCCCTCCCTCTCTCACTTTCTCTTCTTCCCTCTTTGAAATTCAAAGTCTGATCCTGCCAGCTCAATGTGTTTGGCCACTGTTTTCAGAAGACTGCCCTCTGAGTCTGTGTGGAGCATCACACATAGAGCATACACAACTGACAAGCTCTCTCAAACATGACCACACGATCACAGAGGGAGAGTTGCCGTGTGCTGGCGCGATAAGGAGCTACTATCTTAATAAATATCTTAGAAGGCCTAATGCAGGACTCCTGGGATTCATTAGACTCGTTCTAAAAGCTAATTACAGATTCACACAAAGACCTGATAAGAATGATAAAATAGTCTAAGGCTCTGCGTACATATTAGCCAAGAATACTCCCGTAGATAAACCGGAAAAACCACATAGTGAAGACATAAAGTCATCACAGTGATTGATGCATCAGTGATGCAGAGACTCACTAATTCATACACTCTTCAAAAATGTATAATTGGCAGAGTTTATAATGCCCCTAATTTAAATGACTTAAATTAGATCTAATTTGATTACAGAGGTTGGTTTGACTGGGAACATACTTACCCAGAAAAACGAGTGAACTGGCTTGATTATTATGCACTCAAAGCTAATTAAATGGCCCTTAATGTCAAACGAAGGGTTAATTATTATGCACTCAAAGCTAATTAAATGGCCCTTAATGTCAAACGAAGGGTTAACAGTAATGGGAAGGTTAAGGTCAGAGTCAGATGGACATGTAGGTTTAATGAAAACCATGCAGACAGATCCTGTCAGTAATATTTATACGTTATTACATTCCAGTCCATAATGGAGTAGAGTGATTGAGCCGTAGACCATCAATAGTACCACTAAAGTTCCTGAAGCAATTAGCTAATTAACATGAAATTGGTTTATATGCATTTTAGTTCATATGTTGGTGTTGGTGGAGGAGTACTTTCTGTTTTACTTTGTTGTTTTTTCACTTTGATCTGTCTTGTTTACTTTCTGCACCTATTTGTTTTGTTTTGTTTAGTTTTGTTTCTTCTGATGACTGACATTTAAACTTTCCTTTTCAATCAGTATTTGGAGTCCCAGAAACTCCTCACAACACAATAAAAGTAATGTAAACAGTGAGTGCAGAAAGTATTCAGACCCCCTCCAATTATATACGTGTATATATATATATATATATAAACCTTTGCAAGATTTTCATGGAGGATGTGGAACAAAAAGCCATAGCCAGTACCCCCCCCCCCCCCCCCCCCCCCCCCAGCTGCAAAATAAAACAACATTATGGAAATGCTATGTCGACGACATAGATATCATAACAAAAGGACAAACGGAGACACTAACTGAACACCTTAAAAGTATCGACGTTACAAACAACATAAAATTAACGTGTGAAGAAGAAATAGAAGTCAGCATAACTTTCATGGGCATGAAAATAAGCAGACAAAAAGACGGGACCCTGAACATAAACACGTACAGGAAACTAACACACACACACACAGACCAATATCTATTATGGACATCCGAACACCCTACTTTTTTAAAACGTCAGTGATCAGAACGTTATACCACCGAGCAAACATAGTAACAGAACAACAGGACCGTAAACAAGAGGACCAACGTATACAAAATGTCATAAAAACCTGCGGATACCCGACATCGGCAATAAACAAAGAAAAACAACAAATGACAACAGAAAGAAAAGAAAAGAGCAACCAAAACAAAAAACTAAAAATAAAGAAAATCAAGAACCAAAACCAGTGATAACCCTTCCATACATCAAAGGCATTACTGAAAAAAATAAAAGTAACAATGAAAAAACACAACATAAACACAACAGTTAGAAAAGGACAAGACATCAGCAGGACATAAATGTGGAGTCATTTATGAAATCTCATGCAAACTCTGCAGTAAAACAG